ACATCATCAACATTAATTTGCCATCGTGCAGTGTGTCTTCAAGGCTGCGTTCATACTTTGCGTCAGCGTACGGCAGCTTTTTGAGCGTAAGGCAGTACCAGCGACATGGAAACTACATGTATCGATCAGGCGAACGCCAGCGTGCAGCGGTGACTAGCAAGGGATGGATATCGATCTACAAAAGCCAGCGTAGACTAGGAAATTTGGATATCGGTTCAGCGAACGCCCGCGCATGTCAGCATACAGCAACGTTTTCGCGGGCAGTTTTGCTCGCGTTCGAATTGTTCTCAAAGACGCTGGCAGTCGCTAGATCAATATCCATAATTTCCTAGTCACTCGAAACGCCGCCATACGCTGGCGTACGCCGTGGAGTATGAACGCAGCCTTGGGGACGCCTCTGTCCCTTAGGCTGCGTTTCTGGTGTCTGGGAAAGTTCGATAATTCTTCCGAAAGCGAAAAATAGTTACCTTACAGGCTTTCCCGCCCATGAAGCACTATCGCTATTGTTGGTATTGTTATGACGTCTACTCTGCCATGTGTTTGGCTCAAGGAAAGAACGCTCCAGATATTCATAACCGAGGACTGTGGCGTGGTCATTGCATGAAAGATGCTCACGGTGTCACTACGTAAGTAAATCTGTCGTTCATAAATTACGAAAATAGAAGCTTAAACATTCGCACTAACCCTGATGCAGCAACGTGTAGAGAAACCCATCCGGTCGACACAGATGAGATTGAGGGGCGTTCCCCTTGAAAAGATATACTCGGGAGATATCGCTCACGGGTGGACACATAAGGGGACAGAAAATCATTCATTGATTGACCAACGCACTTGGTTCGTCTCTTTTTGGGCTATGCCACGTATACGACTCCCATTCAGAATAGCGGTGGCATTTGCGTTCGACCCATACGATTTACCGGAAATCACTAGATTTTACACCACCTGGTCGGGATCGGGTGTTAGTTATCCAACTACGATGGGCAGGCGATTTGGTTGGCTGGAGTGAAAACTCAAGGCAGTCAACGCGATGCAAAGTGGTCGCGAAAAAACTTTTCTTCATCGAAACAGGCAAGATGATACAAGCTAGAGGGGCGCTGATTATTGTAGTCACTGCAAACCATGTTTTTGAAGCTGATTTTGTTATGATAACTGCTGTTTAACGCGCGCAGTACGCGTTCCGTAATCACGTATAAACACAACGAATGCTGAGTTGTGGGCAAAATGTCATGCCCCAGGGCGGGAGTCGAAACCCGCACCTCATGCTTTCCGGGATCCATAACAAACAGCTAACTGCTTCAAAACTTGTAAAGCCATTCGCATTTGCGTTCCATTGCCAGATATTTAAGATTACGGCTGACCGACTCACCAAATTAGACGGATTAGCGTACCGCCCACGAAATTCGTTAGAGAGTGGGTTCGACTGCGCCTGGGGCCACGACTTTTGCCACAAACTCAGCATATCTTGTGATAACTGCCAACCTATGATTACTTTTACCTCTGCCGAGACAACGGCTTACAACGCGGAACTGCGTCCGTGGAGACGATAGCAGTTGCCTGCTGAGGCGTCGCAGGGTGACTTCCAGTGCTCTTCCCGGGAATGGTTGCACGTCGATCCTGCTAGGTCCTTGCCGACGTCGACCAAGTCCTACAACGCAGCAACGTGCCCACTGTTAACAAAAAGCGGGTATGTGTTCGGCCAGTCGCTTCCCAAGGTTTCTTCCCACTTCTTTCTCTACTGAGGGAAAGTTTATGGGCTGAGTGAACATCTACTTACCCGTAAGGCACTTGTCGCGAAATTGTACCTTGTCTTCATCCAGTCGCTGGATCCTTCACAAGGTACTGCTCTTTATCTACTTTGATAGTGATAGTCTCCATAATGTATCGGAATGTTGCCGTTTCAGGCGTCGTCCGCACCTGTGGTTCACCACTTGCAGTCATTGCGGAGCAACAGCGTGAGAGCTCACAGCCTGAGTTCTGTCCGGGTATTGAAGTTGGCAACGTTGGACCTTCAAGAAAAGTAATGCTTAATGTGAGCTTTTTGGCTGTCGCTTTTGTTGCTCGTGGCAGAATTACTCAAGTTAGCTTCGTTTTAATAATCCGTAACCCGTACAGTAGCGACTATACATCTTTACGTCATGCAAGCTTTACCATTCATATCGCTTTGAAGTCTCCGCTTACTCATACTTACTGTCTTGATACATTACTGTTTATTAACTTCGTTTTATCCAGTAATTGGTTTGTTACTTTGATATTTTGCAATAGATCATTTGTATTGCCTGTTTGAACTTGTTTACATAGTCATCATTGTTATCAATATATACCACAATAATTTTTTTCTTACATGAAGTTGATTTTTTACCGCTGTGCAACAGCATACGTTAACCTGGTTGCATGATTTACGTATTACTCATGGGGCAGTGTGACAGCTCCAAATTCGTCATGGACATGTTGAACAGCTGGTACGTGACGGTAGGACCACGCGGCGTCGCGCGCTACAATAGTAAGTATCGTATGGTCACGGTCAGCGCGGTTTTCTTATCGCGACAGATACATTTCGCTGCAATTTTCTTTGACAGGACAGTCCGTGGTACCTCAGCAAAGCAACAATATGCACAGACTGAGTATGCCGTCCGGAAAGCAGTGGCAGTCGAATGATTAGGAATCAGCACATAAGCTCAGGTATCTCGCAAGCACTGTGCAGGATTCTCTGCACCATAATTGCTATGTAATCACCCTGATTACGCAAAAGGAGAAGAGTCTAACAGTCATGACAATCCAGGTCCTGCCAGAGTAAAGAGCTTTGATGAAACTGGAGCGAACACAATCCAATTCAATAACGCAGTGAGTTTATCGCGAACGTGAGCTCCATTGCAAGCCGCGTTGCTTGCAGATTGCGGCGCACGCGACGTCGCGTGGTCATAAGGAACAAAAGTCTCTCGGCGGATAGTTATCCTGTGTTTTACACCCCACCCCACTATGTAAAGGTTTCGGTAATTTCGTTGCTGCACTTCCTAATTATGCAAATTGAGCATTTTCTATGCTAATAAGGAGCAAATTCGTTGTATACGTAGCCTTCTACATCCATGAACACCGAAGACAGTCGGAGCATGTCAGCGACGCGTGTAATTTGGCGCGGCGCCCAAATCACACGCGCCGTTGACGCGGCGCCATCCTGTTCCCAGCGTGGCAGTTTGCGTTCAGAGAATACTGGGGAAGGGGCTGGTGCTACGCCAGGACCAACGCGCTGCTGACACGCCCCGACTGACCCGCATGATAACGACTGCAGTTTTTTGGTTGATACAGTCCTCATCATTACGTACTGTTGGGGTGGCATAGTCGCGCTGCACTCGACAGCGGCTGCGGCTCGGTGACGATGGTGATTTCGATGGAATTCGGTCGCAAATTCCCACTTTTTCAGCGCTTCAAGCTTCTAAAGTGGAAGTTGAATTATTGCGACCAATTCTGAATTGTACTGACTGAATGAATCTGAAAGAATGTAAGCCATTTGAATAAATGCCTGAAATAAGGCAAAATACAAGGAAAAGAGCACAATATCGACACAAAAATAAAGGAAATAAGAGCCAGTACAATTCGAAATTGGTCGAATAGCTCACCTTCCACTTTAGAAGCTCAAAGAGCTGAAAAAGTGGGAATTTGCAGCCGAATTCCATCGAAATCGGCTGATTCACCGTCACTGAGCCGCAGCCGCTGTCGCGTCACAGTGCAGCGCGGCTGGACATTACGTAATGATGAGGACTATACAATACCCTTTGTGATTCAAGGGAGACTAGGATAGCTGCCTTGTGCTTTGCAGCTGCTGCAGTGGGCGCAGGTGGAGCAGCAGCGCATTTGCTGCCACTTTGCTTTTGATCTTTAAGTGAACTTGTGTGCGTGATTTCAGAAGGGAAGATCTTTGTTCAGAATACAGTCTTATCTGCTGCGGATGAGGAGCAGCAGATAAGAGGAGGGGGGAGGATGGGTATACGGGTTTGGCTCAAAGCCAGCCCGTTATTCTTTTTTTTCGGTGAGGAACGAGACTGTATAATACCGTTCGTATCAGCTGTTTTTCCCCAAATGTTGTCGCCTACTCGCTTCAACAAAGTGGTGGACGTGTCTCACTCGTTGGATGCTGTTTTGGAGCTCTCAAGCTTCAGTGACTCGCCCCATCATCTGCAGCGAACGAAACTGTACACTACTCATGGTTGCGAGGTATTGCAAGTGCCAACTTTTTGGCGAGCGCAGCACCCACCTCTGAATACTTGCGGCTGCGTTCATACTGTGGGGAAATAGCAGTTTAAGATAACGCACGACAGAGAAACTGGACTCGAAGACACATGGTACGATCACACATATTTCGGATGCGCGTGAGCGCAGGAATGGAGATCAACGACCGTAGGACAGGCTAATTTCCATTGCTCCGCCTAAAATGCAACTTGCGGCGCAGACTCCCGATCCCGTTTATACTAATAGATGTCCGCGCGGCGCGTATCGCGCGCAGCGCTCCTGACACTTTGCCAAGTCGTGTAATTGCATTTTCGAATACAATTAAAACGCAAACTCCTGATGCGGAAGACATTTGGGGTGCTGTTCATGCTGCAAAATCCGAATCGAAGTAGATGATGATGGCCGGAACTCAAGACCAACTGTGCTGCTTCTGCAATCTCCCTCGTGGGCCACACAATCTCACAAAACGTAAAAATAAAAATGGCCTTAGCGATCCACTAGTTAGTTTAAAGTATTTCCATGATCTCGGAGCTGGAATCGCGAGTCAAGCTGCGAGCCTCTTTGAACCGATCACATCGGCTTGTGCGAGCAGGCGTTTTCTAGAAGCCTTCCAAACCTCGTCGTGGGGATCAAATGCATAGTTTTTGCATAGAAGAGATCAGTCGATGATGAGGAAGGCTGCGTTCTTACTTTGCGGCAGCTTCCCCTAGCAAGCAATTGCGTCCATCAGCGTTCCGAGCGTCCAACAGCGTCAGCGACTACGAAAGTATAGATATCGACTTGCGTCTTCCAGCGCTTGCCAGTGTCTGCCAGAGATTAGTAGCGTCTGAAAGCGGAGAGTGTGATGCAAGAGGAGGGTCGCAGACTGCTGGTGGAGACTATAGCGCGATAGGAGGATAGCAGACAGCTGGTACCCTCTGGCAAACGCTGGTGGACGCTAGCAGACGT